ATTTAAAACTAAAGGTATATTTTAATAAAGTATTTTGGAAATACCTATTTTGTATTTAGTATTTTAAGTATAAAATGAAAAACTATTTTGTATTTGAATACTTTTTATAATGTATTTTGCACATCTCTGTAATAATTTTGTTTAAGCGGGATGTTATTGTAAACAATTAAATAAATAGGTTCGAAGGAGCGGTAGTATTTTCAAAATATTCAATTTAAGGAAAACACTATTTTTAAAGGACGGAATATATTTTAGAGAAAAATTAAAAATTACGAATAAAAATATGAGAGTCCATTTTTCTTTTACATTTTTTTGTTAATGCGACATTTGCCACTTATTATTTTAAGATGAGATATAGAACCTCAACACGGGTTATCCGCTCGGCTTGGAGTTAAATTGAGAATCATCTATCAAGAGACCACAGTAAAAAAAACTAGGGATGCCTCGATGCGCCTTTTTGCCGATATGATACCGATACCGATGTTTTAAAAAAAATACGCTTATACGCTTATTAAATTCAAAAATTAAGGGAAAATAAATTAAACGCAAGTTAGTTTTTTTTTATTGATATAAAGAAAGCAAATAGTAAGGGAAGCTAAATAAAACCGTTTAAAACTGTACCACTTTTGTGTTTAAAAGTTGACATGATTTTTACTTATTTAACTGTAACGACTAGTTTTAAATTTATGTACAGACACAAACTAATTTACATTATTATGTAATTCTTCAATTATATTTTCATGAAAAATATTACGCGCGACAACAGTCAATCTAGTGAAATTGGATAGATATGATGAAAGTCCAAAGCGGGCGGGTGAAAAAAGATACTGAATAAAACGCGGGGTTTCCCCGAGCAAGTTAGTTCGTGTCTCGTTTGCAATAAAATAGATAAGTAAAAAGTATTGTTGAATCGGCCATAAAAATGTCTCTCAGAGTGACATTTTGGCTACAGGCACTGACCTAATACTGTCTGCGCATTCCTATTCTTCTAGTCTCGGATATTTTTATTTACTAATTATTAAATATAATTATCTGACATCAAACATTATAGGAGTGAGTGAACGAAAGAAAATGTTACTGAAATTAAATCGCTATTCAGAGTATAATGACAATGTTTCCGAAAATACCAATCAAAAATGATCTACGTTGCGATGTGTTGTGCTTATACTACATTTATAACCTGCGCAGACGAGGGACTTCTATCCGCGGTATTTTTTGCCCGCCAAAATAGATCGCTTGCAACTGCAACGAGTAACGTACACGAGATATTGAAAGTTCCGCGTACAAGAAGTTCCCCGAACAACCGAGGACACTTTTTGTTTGAGTGTGTATGCTGTTGGTCGCAGATGACCTTTACATCGTCAACGGGCTTGGGGACGGCGAGATCCTAAGGGGACCTCAAGCTGAGAATTGGCGAGTGCCTCCAGAGGTTTTCGAGACCGATGGCAACTCCTCACGGGGGGAGTATTCTCTCCGTCTGGAGCCTCTAGACCACTCGAACCTGAGGGGGATATAAATGTCGCCGATATATCGGGAAACCCGAAGTATCGCCGTTAAATAAAAATAACACTACGGCGGTGGCGTTATGTTTCTCTGGATAGGAGATAGGGTCAGTTAGGTAATGGCGTATTGTCTGGTTTAAGTTTTCTCGCTCCCCCAGTGGTTGAAGGATGCGTAAGGCATTTTCCAGACACAAAAAAAAGGTAATGGCGCGAGTGGTATTTTGGTATCGCAAGCATTTATATGCTATGGCGGCCGCTTACCACCAGGGGTTATAAATGCTTGTTTGCCACCATTTTACCATAGAAATGTAGGTTACTCACAAAACAGTTAAAAACACATACCAAACAACCGTACGCAGCATTGCTTTAAAAAAAATGTAACCTATTTTAGTTCTTACCTTAGTGCAGCTATAGTGCTCTGCCAGCATTATAGCTTATAGCCAAGACATTGGCCACGATGACACTAAACAAACATATTATATCGCTTATATGTACTTATAACTGATGAAAGCGCATTGTCAAATCATCATGGTGATCATTTTCTACTCAGTGAGCCATCAACCATCATCATTCTATTCAGTAAATCTGAGAGCTGGTCTGAATCTCCGACGCCTTATGTGTCTCTAAACACTTTGTCTTTCTGTATGTGTTCATAAAACCACCAAAAAATATGTATTAAAAAGAAATAGGGACGATGACTGACGTTTTTTCTTCCTCTACCAGCTTCGTCATAAAGTGTAGGACAAGTACTATTTTTTCTTTTTTCACATATTCAAAATATACAGATATTGATTTAAAATGTCGCATGACGTCACGTCTACGTACAATTTTTACTTGTTAGATTAGACGTATGTTCACGAACTCCTAATTTCAAACTTTGAGGTATTAAAATATATAGTATTATCTCTTAATTTTTTGATAATCTAGCTAGAATTTCGTTTACTTTATCCCTATTTTAGTCCCGTGTGCTGTCTGGACCGCATGGGATTTAAACATCTATCAGTTTAATGCTTAAATAAAAAATAATAATACCTACACCTTAAAATTTTAATCAAAAAACCTAGGCTTTGATTGCATTATAGATTAGCGTTTGTGTGATTCGCGCAAAAATATATTTTGCTTCGTTCGAAATCGATACTCCAGCTGTTATGAAGTGTTACGACCTACTTGAGACCAAGCGATAACAGTCTGGGTCGTAGTCTGTAGCACTAACTCAGACTTTCATAGCATTTTATACAGATTTACGGCGTATTAGTGTCGATTTCAAAACAAATATGTACGCAAATGCGAAATAATTTGCTACAAATCCTCACAGAAAAATCTGTGTTTTAATGTGAATATATTATTTATAAAGATTTTTTAATTCAATGCCGTATTTAGGAATTGCTAATTTGTTTGAAAAGTATTAGTAGAATGCAGAATAATTTGTAGATTTAGTAAGCTATAACATGATTTAAGTATCCAATATGAATACAAATGTATTCGCGAAACGCTCAAACATTTTTATTCAAATTAATTTACCGCTTAGTTTGAATTATACTTTGAATTTCAATGTCATATTTCAGCAAAATATTATTTTGGATATAGGCAGACATCTAAATTGTTGAACGACCTTTTATTTTCATTTTCTGTCACAAATAATGATTCTCGTAAGTCTTTAAAAAAAATAGATTTTGAAGAAGAATAACTAAGTACTCTTTGTTTCAAAATAAAAGGAAATAGTAAAAATTAAGAAAAATAGTAGGCTGAAATACAACACCAAAAATAATATGCCGAACAAGTCATTTTCCGTAGTAAAAATCGAGGGCATCATCTATAATATAATGACGGGTCGAAAATTAGTTTGTTCGTACTAAGAACTACACAGATACGAAAAATTCTAGCATACCAGTAGCATGCAAAATTTTTCCTTAACTACATAGGCTGTATTTTATCGCATAAAATAAGATCTAACCCGTGCCAAGCGGGATAGTAAAGTTATAAATGAGACAACGTCTGTCTGTTACGCTTCGACAACCAATACGTAGAAGAAGTCGCGGGCATCACCTATAGTTCTCTCTAAATGTAGATATTTAAGATTATCAACATTCGTTTGACCTTTGAATTCTATAAAGTTGGTTTTGCGAACAGTCCTTACCTATAGCTATCTGTCTACCCATGCTCACAATAGTCGGTCTGTTCTGTGAAGTTCTTCATTTCTGATTGGGAGATAAGAGTTTGTGGAATGAATAATGAAGCGCCACTTTTATCTGCTATCAATTTTATTAATATAAAGTACTTACAGAGCCTCAAAAGTAGCTTTAAGTAAGAAAATTTTGACTTTTCTTTCAATATAACTTAAGGTTTCAAAATTGTGGTGACAAATATAAAAATGATGTTTAAAAATAATGTTTTTTCATTTATTACACTTACTTCAAGGCACTAATATGTGCCTCGATGTCCTTTTATTTGAATTTGGCGCATATTGTGTTCAAAACTGACATAGAAGGGCTGCACATTGCAGTGATAAATGCATTCGGTCCGCAATTATGGAAGTTAAGCAACTATCGGGCTAGTCTGCTGGATGGGTGACCAAAAAATTATTATTTCGAGCTCTTCCGTGCTTTGAAAGGCACGTGAAGCCATTGACCTCGTCTGCAATTGGAATTATTAGTTCACGACTCGCATCCTTCTTTACCATGCGAACCGAAGGCAATGGAACTCCCTTACTGCGTCTATATTTCCCGATACATATACTATAGGGACCTTCAAAGCAAGAGTAAATAAATATTGTTTGAGTCTGTATGCTCCAGGTTAGACCACATCGTTGCTTAATATAAGGTGCAACAGCGATCAAACTCACTGTAATCCTCAAAAAAAGCACTAATCTGCAAATTCCACAAAATAACTCACGCAGACTATACTTACAATAGGTTTGAAACTTTCATCTAAAGTTGATAAGCAAGGTTTTGTAAAAGAATACTTTAATATTAATACAGATTGATAAGCTTTGCTCATTTCTATGAAAATAGTTAACATACTTCTTAAATTAGAAATTACTATGCACGTATTCCTATGATAAAGAAGTTGTCAACAGTACATAATTTGTAGTTTTGATGTCATCTTTCAGTTGACGACACTGTTTATAATATGTAGTGATGACCTTCTCAAATGTGTTGTCCCTGTTTGAAATAAAACGGGGAGACAACAGCCCTTGCCGAGCCTTGGCCTTTTGCTTTCTGATTGAGCCATTTATTTTTACTGTCAACTATTGTTTTTTAAATAAAATAAAAATATAATGCAGTTAACATATGGGTGATATATAAATGGCATATTTTTAGGCGACCCGTCACTAATGCATTGTATACGCACTAGAATCATTATTATTAATTAAGTTTCATCAAAAAAACAGATGTCTGCAGAAACGAGCGGCGGGATTTTGAAATATTAGATGTAGACAAGCATTTAAATGCTTCCTTACTATATTTTAATTTTAAACATAACCGTGTTTTGTTTCAGATTGTATTTACTATTAATGGCGGCGCTGGGGTTGGTGTCAGCCTACAGATATCCAGACTTACCGCCAGGCCCGTACTGCGGGACGATAGGGGCACAATGTTGTTCAAACAGGCAAGACTCGTGTTCACACGCAATTCTAGGTCAGTCAGTATAAATAAATGAATAAATATTTCCATCACTTATACCAACTAGACAAAGCCAAGGCTTATGTTATGGGATAGGTACTAGAATAACGGATAGAATAAATATAATGATACATATACAGGTTGTTACAAAAATACAAATAAAGCTTAAAGGACGTTGATATAAGGAGTCTTCTCTAATTTTCTTAAAATATTTGCATGAAGTTATAACTTTTTATAAAAACAGTTATTTTTAATGATTAATAAAAATATCGATCATTTTAAGACACGTCACTAGATCATTAAAAAGAACTGTTTTTATAAAAGTTAAAACTTCATGCAAATATTTAAAATTAGGAAAGACTCCTTATATAATGTACTTCAACGCCCTTCAAGCTTTATTTGTATTTTTGGAACACCCTGTACAAGTATATTTTTGGCAAAAATACATATAAATATGACTTAGGTACAAATGCTCGTATTCATCATAGTAACATTTTCCCCACCGGGATTCAAACCCTCACGAGTAGGCGACACTTTGAAACCCGGCGTAGGTACATACCACTCGGCGACGGAGGTCGTCAATTCGTCAGTATAGAAAAAGCCGAGAAAAAGAATAGACGAAAGCCCCACTGGTTTATTCCGAAATCTTATTTAAAGATTTAATCAATAAACAACTACAAATGTGGATATCTGGAATATACTTGTCTCCACCCCCAAAATACATAATTTACAGTAAGCGCCAAGGACGCGCAGTCGGGATAGTGATTTACAAAATGTATAAGTTTATATGTAAAATGTAGAATATATGATTAAATTCACGAGGCCGATGCTTATAATTCAATCAATGAAAAATTATATAATGAAATGAAATGTCATTTATTCAGTCTAGGCTGTTACAAGCACTTGTGAAGGTGAAGAAGCTACGCCATCAGTTCGCAAAACTACGGCGGGCGACCCTGTACTGAGAAGAACCGACAAGAAACTCAGCAAGGGCTGTTTTTTAATATTTATTCACTTATTTTATTTATTTAACATTAAAGTTAAATGGCTTAATAAATATTTAGCCTAACTAGAAATCTGTGTAATACACTCAGTAAAATCTCACGTAATTCTAGCATTAAAGATAATTATATCTTAACTACAAATCTGTGAAGTGAAACACAGCAAGAAAGATTGGCGGATTTTTTCGTGGCACTATAAAAATTATCCTTCTATCCTGACTTCGTTGATTTCTGACATCCATTTCCTTCCCACTATTGATTCTTTTTTTTGCCTCTTTCTCTTTTTCAAACTGAATTATTCATACCTATCTGCCGTGCTCTGATATCCAGATATTGCTATAGCTTATGATTTCATTTTGTTATTTGTGACCGCTCTTGGTTTTAAAATACATCGCGCTCTTTTTTTCTTTTGTATTGATAATAACTTTATTAAAGAAAATGAACGTGTGGCTATAAGATAAAGCCATAGCAATACCGATAGGTGGTAGGCACCTAATACGTTGATTATACGCATTTGAATTTTTCGGACTTTCTACAATTGCCAAATATATCTATTACTGGCTGCTTCAAATCATTGTGACATTTTGCCGTGTAACGGAGTACTGCATATTTGTCTTTATCTAAAATTAAGGCTATTGAACTCGAAAGTGAGATTTTCTTTTTTTCAAAATAAAAGGTTAATACAACTCTTTTAAATCGTCCATATTTTTCCCCTGCCACCAGTTAAGGACATTTTAAGCTGTGGAGAAAAATTGTCGAAAAAACTTCACATCGTCAAATAATTAAAGTCATTCATCCTTCGTTTGTTTTGCAGCTTCCATATCCTCATTCTAACATTCTCTTCTTTCTAGGCACGCTGTGTTACTGCGACCAGTTCTGTAATCGAACGCTGTCACACGATGATTGCTGCCCAGACTACGAGGAGGTATGCCTAGGCCTCCTCCCACCGCCCGAGAACATCGGCGAGTCGTGCAAGGAGAACGGCAAGTCTTACTTCCCGCCAGAGAAGATCATGAGGGACTGCAACACTTGGTGAGTTTTTTCAATAGTTAACATAAACGAAATTTATATCAAATATATTGTGTGCCAATAGAAACTATTATTTTCCATCGTCAATATAAAAATTTAATGTGAATCGCATTGGAGCGTTGTATTTAGTCTATTGATCGGATTGAAAAAAGTGATCTCTCTCTTTTTATATGTGTGAGCAAAAATTGCTTGATTTAATTTAACTCTTTTAAATGTTAAGAAATGGTGTTAAAATAGCGGCACCCACTTATCGGCCAATTTCCAAGGGAAGTAACAACACTGACAAATAAATTAGGTAATAAATTTATGTTTGAAGTTGAGTAAACACACGCACATATGTAATCTTCACGCCAAGCGGGTAGGCAGAGAAAACAAAGTGTTTACTCCTAGTTATTTCCAAATTTAAGTAAAATTGCGTCTGGTGAAATTATTAGATGCTAGATTTCTGAAAGTTTTTAAAGAATAGGGATAATGACTAACTTTTTTTTCTTCGTCTATCAGGTAGATTATCAAAAAGTATTGGACACGCATTTTTTCTTAATTCACACAATCAAAACATTAGAGATTTATATCGTACGTCACGTCTTCGTACAATTTTTACTTAGAAGTGACGTCACGAGCCCGAACTCCTAAACGTTGGCGGTCTTTATCTTTGTAAATTTTTGGTTGAGTGACAAAAGAAAAAATAGGTGTCCATTATTTTTTGATATTCTAAGTAACGGACTAAATAGAATTCCGTTTTCTCTACCCCGTTATCATCCGTATTAACGTGCGAAGTGCATCCTCGGAATCCTTATACTATTAAATAATATTTTCACTAAGTCAGTTTAGATTTAAATATCAGTACAAAGCGACAAGTTTGATATATGTATTTCCAAAAGAAATCTTTTATGTTTGCTTTGAAAATTTCCATTGTTTTAGATCACTGTATTGCACGACCTAAATAATACGTACGTAGGTTACGTTATTATTAACGAAGTACATTCGTAGTCATAAGTGGTTTAAGTAGCGAAGATTTGTATTTCAATTTTATAATGAACTGAAGTACGAAATCATCGATGAAACTATCCTTAGCTACATAATGTGTATTCTGAATTCAAAGCGAGTTTATTGAAATTTAAAACGTGTTTTAGAATTTTTAGAATTAAGTCGGAAATATTTGCTTGTTGCGTTATATCATGACATGTCAAAGAGCTATCGGTTTCTTACAATACATTTAATACGGTTAGAGTGAGTAAGCTGTCGACACATCGCGAAAAATCGCGGCACACAAATATAATTCTAACTGTACTAAATGTACGACAAATACCACTCTGACGCGACACGATACTTTACGAATATATTTCTGGCTTTACGTATCGTTGTGTGTAACAAGAACTTTAAAAATACCAATATGCAATAATAATAATAAAGTACCATATTGTAAATTCATAAAAGTTGTGATTCCTGACTTCTGCTCATGATTGGGACTAGGTTGACTAGAAAACAAACTTTTATATCATACAATACCCAGACGGGTAATAATGATATCATAGTTCTTTCTCAAATCCTTATACAATTGCTTTAAAATCATAGCAATATTTGTTTCTTAGGTTTTCACGCACGATTCCGACGAAGCAGCCTGTAAAAGCTCAGGGTTCCCAACTTAGGGGGTTTGCCCCCTGATTTAGGGGCTAGAAGTGTTAAAAGGGACTTTTTCAGGGGCTGGAATTTTTTGGGGGTTCTTTTAGGGGCTTTTAACAAAACTTTCAATGAAATCGAAAAACAAAGCGTGTGTTTTCTTTCAGTTTTATGCGTAGAATGGAACGCAGCACGATATGAAACGACTGAACTCACTGTGTGGCAGGTTGTTTCCTAAGGCTGTATGGTCTAAAGTTCTTTGCCTTCCACCAATCAAAACCCGCTAAATAAGATTTAACCGCCTGTCAGCTTATTTTCGTTTGATTTTCCATTCGAAAAATGTATTTATTCAATAAAATAATTTACTGTAACTAAATATGTAACGTTTTAATTTATGAGCAACGAAAGAATTTAGGTAATAAGATAAGTAGGTACATATAAATTTCTATATTTAAGGGACTTTAGGGGAATTTAAAAAATACTTAGGGTAAAATTTTGGTAAGGGTTTGTAACACTGTAAAGGCTGCGAAACGTCAATAAATAAATAAAGATTCGTGCATTTACCCGTGAAAAACTAGTTTTATCATAGCAATGTTTAGGAAGTTTGCGAATATTGAAATTTATAAAACATGAAAGACTTCTGATTCTGCTTGTACGTCAAGGTGTTATTATGAAACGCTGTCACAGGAATGTCATACAATAAATAATACTACAACAAACAAGCGTAGTAACAGTTTAAAGTTTTATATAACTAATTTCAATGTGAATTCCTGTGAATTTGACCTACATTCATTTGTGGACAGATTTATTTTAGATTTTGAAAGATTTACATCGATTTTCAGTAGGTTACGAAGAAAATTTGCTGAGGATACTATGGTCTTAATAATTTGAATATTTAGGTAACATTAAATTAAGTTTATTTAATTTTCTTTCTGCTAAAATTTTATGCTCGCACTTCATATGGTTATTTGTATTTGCTATTTGTAAACTTAACAGCAGTATATCCTTATCATTGTGTATAAGGAATGAAAGGGACAGACTGTTGTTAAATTTATCCATTTAAAGTGCCAGTACAAAATAGGAAGCGCAACTTAAGAGCGAGCGCGAACTGAGAGACATCTAAGAAATAGGTATTTGAAAAAGCTATTGCTGTCACAGAGAACATTGACTTGTCTGTAGAGGAGCTCGATGGCGCCAGTGGTAAGCGCGTTCGGCTGCGGTCGTTGAAGTTGAGTAACTTTCGCAGTGGTCGGTCACTGGATGGGTGACCAAAAATTTACTATCTCGAGCTCCTCCGTGCTTCGGAAGGCACGTTAAGCGGTTGTTCCCGGCTGCATCTGCAATCGTTAGCACCCACCAATCCGCACTGGGCCTGCGTGATGGGTCATGGCCCAATCTCCCTAATCCATCCATAGGGAAGGCCTGTGCCTCAGCAGTGGGGACATTAATAGGCTGATGATGATGATGATGATTGCTGTCACGCACTTGCAAAAACCATGTGATCGATACAACAGTAGTTACCGCTGAAAATTTCGTATAAAAATTGCAAGATTAGAAGTTTGGCTCTGGACGATATACTACTCGAAAAAAAGATATATGTCAAAGAAATTTAACACAAAGAACAATAAGTAGTTGCACTATGCCTCTATGTTTTGATTTTTTTGTAAATGCTTATTAAATCTCCACACTAGACGTCTTTAGTGGTGATAAAAATTTGTTTACTTTTAGTCTTCTTCGAGGGCTTCCAGTTCATTTGTTTATTGACTACCTCCGTGGTGGTTGTACGCCGGGTTTCATGGTGTCGCCGACTAGAGAGGTCTCGGGTTCGAATCCCGGTGGGGGCAGATGTTTGTGTGATGAATACGAGCATTTGTACTCCAGTCATGGATGTTAAATATGTATTTCTATATACATATACTTAGATATGTACAATATATGTATTCTATCCGTTACCCTAGTATCCCATAACACAAGCCTACAGTGCTTACTTTGGGTCTAGTCTAATTGGTGTGAGTGTTGGTAATATTTACTTATTTTATTTCTTTAAATCGTCCAATTTCCATACCGTTGTACTAAAAAAAGTTTGATGATTCAAACAAGTTAAACAACAACCATAAGAAAAATATGTAACAAAAAATGGATGCGTGTAACTTATGTACGCGCGTGAGAAGTTATACTTCTTTAGCATCATTAAAAATATTTTTTAATTGCATGCAAATAATTAATAATTACAATAAAATAATAAAAGGACTGGAAAAGGATAGTTAACACAGTCAATTAAATTCAGTTTTAATTTGAAAAATTAAATAAATATTCAAAATATTCAATTAAAATCACTACTGAATTTAAGTTATAAGTCCATATGTAATTAGCACTTGTAAGTAACTAAAACACGTTGTGTCTATATAGAAACTAGAAACATGTGGATAAATATTATAAATATGAAAACAGTGATCAGAGGCGACGAGCGTGCCAACATTGTTTTTGACAACGCGATCATCTTATGGAGCTCCGTGGATCGTTCAAAGTACCTTTCGAACAGATGTGGTTAATAATCCACAATTATTAGACATTAACATTCATAACGCGCCCGCGGCCAACTTCATGGTGTTACTATTGTGTTACAGTGATGCGCGCGCATCTTAAAATTTCACTCTCATCATTTTTTCATAACGCGCCCGCGGCTAACTTCATTATGTTACTTTTGTGTTATAGTGATGCGCGCGCATCTTAAAATTTCACTCTCATAATTTTTTCATAACGTGACTAAAGAAGTATAACTTCAAAAAATACACACATAAATTACCGGTGTCTACTGTACCGTCTGCCTGGATTGCTTTCCACTAACAAAGAATTGTTTAGACCTTGAACTGATTCGTTGCTTGTTTACTTTCAAACAATTGGATTCAATTAGCGATGGCTGGCACACTTGCGACAATATCTGATTGATCCATCCAAAAATTGTGAGTAAGGGGTTAACTATGTCACCTTGAAGTTAATTGTTCCCGTCTGAGCTGCGGACTTATTCTGAACGCCTCCAAGTCCAAATAAATTTTATGATAATTACCGATTAAAATAATAACTTCCTATAAATAAACAGCTGAATTTACCAAAGCTTATATTATTGGCAATCATATATCAAGTTCCCCAAAATGGCCACTTAAGAAAAATTTGTCAAAGCTCCCATCATGAAATACCATATTATATCACCTAAATAAACAAAAAAAATCGAGCAGCGGCCGCAGTGCAGGTCAGTAACGAATGCGTTTCTATGGCTTTGCCGCCCCTTAAAACTCTTTTTTTTGTTACAAAAACATATTTATTGTGTTATATTTAAGATTACCTACATTCTTAATAGCGGGAAACGCATCTTACCACGCAAT